AGACAGAAATCCAGGCAATACCCCATAAGATTGGAGAAAATACAGGAGCTTCACATTTCTACAAACCCTTTTGAAGTATGCAGGTGCCTAAACTCGGTGGGCTTAAAGCATGTTGGGATAGGGATCTAGGCCATGAGATTCCAGGAAATGATTGGAAAAAATTATGTTTATCATTGCACTTGTCATAACTGGTTTTGGTGATCTGAGCCACATGCAGAGAACCACTCAGAAACCAAGTGCAAAAGTTTAACAGGTTTATTGAATGTAGAAAAACACTGAAGAAGAAGCAGGAACTCAGCGGACTGTGAACCGGAAAGGCTGAAGTTGAGATCACAGTGATCAGTTCAGGGGCTGTAGGGGCACATTTTAGATGTGATTAATCTATCTCTGTTACAGGGATATGTACCAAAGGCCTATAAGGTTGCAGTAATTAAACCTCTTGACCCAGATGACTTGGTCAATTATAGACCTATATCCAATCTTCCTTTCTGATCTGAAGTTCTTGAGAAAATAGTTGCCAAACAAATGTGCTATCACTTTCACCATAATGAACTTTTTGAAGAGTTTCAGTCTGGCTTTAGAGCTCATCATAGCACTGAAACAGCTCTGGTGAAAGTCACTAATGATATTCTCATGGCCTCAGATAATGGACTTGTATCTGTGCTCGTCCTGTTGGATCTCAGTGCTGCATTTGATCCAGTTGATCATAATATTCTTTTAGAAATACTTGAATATTTTGTTGGAATTAAAGGAACAGCACTAGACTTTGGCCAAATAATGTTTTATTAAATTATTTGCTTAATCAAGAACCAATAACCTTTAGTTAAATGATTCTTTAACCTCCTTGAAATAGCTAGCAGCGAATAGACATCAGGTTTCCACTAAATGACTCTTGGTCAGACTTGCTAATGGAAATGTAACGAGCATCTGAGGAACACATGAACACTAATGTTATATCAGTGTTTAACCCTTAGTGAACAAAACTTGTCCAAGCTTCAGCAACAGCTCAACACATGTTTCTGTAGCATAGCGTAGCATGCAGTCCATTCTTTAGCGTCAATTATTGTCTTTACTCAGCAGTAAAAACACGATATGATTAGCATCCTCAAAAGACATGTTGTTTGTTCTGTCCCTAATCATACCAGACCTGCAAACCTTTTTCCATGTCCATTTGGAAAGCCTGAGTTTCATCCATTTGCAGCTCAGCAGTCAGGGCACAGCAGGGGTTCTTCGTCTCAGTCTCACACAGCATGGGTAGACCTTTACTCTAGTTTGGCTATATAATTCCTGAAACTCAAGAGAAATGTGTTGTAAAAGGTCTGTCTTGCAGTATTTTGGTTCTGAAAGGCTACCACAATGACCCATCCTTGATGGTTCTGGAGAGCTGGTTCCCTTGGGCCTTGGTTCTCCACCACAGTGGAGGTCCGGGCCGAAGCCCGGCTTCAGGGGTGAGGGAGAGCAGGCAAAGAGCATGAGCCAAAGAAATCAGGAGCAAAGGAGAGTGAATTCTGTGTGCTCTGTGATTTTGTGTGTCCTCGCACAGAGGGGGGTGGTGGTTGGTCTGTGACTTGCCATGTGACTTGCCTGTGTAGGCCTTGGTTGAAACGGGAGTTGTTGCAGAGATTCCACAGCTGATTCCACATCATCATGTCAAGATAAATATGGACATTAGTTCCCAATGTCCAAAAAGTATGATCATGGCATATGGCATAACACTAGGCTTCATTTTTGATAAAGCTTGCAGGTAGAGTGGCTCAGGTTATCCTGAGCTATCTCTATAATTATGCTGCTATAGGCTTAGACTGCTGGAGGACATAGGGACCCCCATTTCATAATTCTACTTCATTCTATCTCTATTCTCCCACTCTGCAGAATCAGTTAGTTTAATTCTCTAATGTTCTGCTCTCTCTGCTTTTTCTCATAGTAGCTTCATCTGGTCTGTTCCTGTTTGGCTGTGACTCCATCCTGGAGAGAAATATCAGCTATGCTGCTGCCATCAACACCCTTGTTTATATGTGCTGGACATCCGCCTGTTTTTCTAGTGTAGTCCTGTTTCTCTTACCGTGACTGGCTCGATGTGCTCTCTTCATCCTCTGACATGGGAGCTGGCTCAGAGCTCGTCTGCCTGGCTGTGTGTTTCCTGGACGGGGCCGCCTTTTACAGCTGCTTTTTGTATCTCTGCTTGTGTCTTCTGAACTCCAGTTGGCCTCAGCAGATGGCCGCTCACACTGAGCCTGGTTCTGCTGGAGGTTTCTCCCTGTTAAAAGGGAGTTTTTCCTCTCCACTGTTGCTACAAGCATGCTTAGTGTGAGGGATTGCAATGAGTCAATGAATCGATGCAATCAACTGGTTTTCCTTAGAAAACTTTGAATCAATTTGACTGGATGATCTGGTTGAATTGCAAAGAGCGTTGCGATGAGGTGTTGTCAATTGGCGCTATATAAAAGAAAAATGACTGAGGCTTGAATATGCTGGAGAGAAACTCACGTTTGGGGTTAGTAAGCTCTTGAATCCAGTTTGTGGGGGTTTAATCCAGAGAAGAGGGAACTCGTTGGAGAGCGGACAGGCAGACACATGTTGGATCCAGAGGAGTAAAGGAGCGGACTGTAACTTGGTTTTCCAGATGAGGACTTCAACAGATCATGTGGAGATTGTCCCGTTCAGTGTGAATTCAGTAAATCCTTCCAGGGGGAAAAGGTCCAGGCTATGCAGTTTCACAGGAAGGCTTCCTGTCAAAGAGCAAGACAAAAAAAGATCAGACTCAGAGAAACAATGCTAAGATTTAGAGTCTGCAAATCATGCTCGGCTAGAGTACCCAAAACTGGCAAACACTCTGGCGTCGAGGTAGTGACAGTCCGCTGCTCAAGTACTCCTCCGTTAATGACATAATGAGCCGCAGGTGTGCAGGGAGGCCCAACGAGGAGAGGGCACCACCTGGTGGTGGAGAGAGGAAAACACAAAAACAACCCACACAAACTGGAATCCAAACAGCACTGTTATAAGCACGAAGCACAATCTCAACTAATTTTCTGTAAGATATTAAATAGATCCTACTGGACCTATTCCAAACTGGCAAGACTAAAACACTAAACGGTGACTTATGTTGGAGTTGAAATGGAAAGGTTGGAACAAACGTTTGTTTGTGAATAAGATGTTGGGCACACATTTGGTCAAAAACCCTTCATTGTGTTTGTAAGGATTACTTCCAGATAACATTAAAATGTAAAAAAAATCAGAAATCTTGGTGCTGTTTAGCTATAACAACAGGGTGCGAGATAACTTTACGCTACTGGAAATCTCTCACTCAGTCCACGTTTAAAGCAATCCTGTTCCTGTATCTAATAAAATATAAGTAGAAGGAGACATCCTTACATGTCTAGCAATTAAGCTAAGAATGGTCCCCACACCTCATTGAATATGTCTTCCCTCCCAGCCACCCTATAACTGGCCTGTTCATAGCTGGCCATTGAACTTAGAACCTGTATCCACTCCTTAACCTCTTAACATCCAGAATTTCTAGTGTGTTTTAGTGTTGTCTGATTCTGTAATTTATGTTATATGCTGTAGGTCTGGGTTGTTATTAACATTGTGGCTGGACTGCTTTTTTTAATGGTTATTTGTGTAGGGAGACAAAAAAATGAAAAGGACAAGACTATTTTTCTGATCCATGTTACTGTAACAAGATAATGGCTGCTTTTCTGTATGTTTGACAAAAAAGAAGAATAAAAAAAGAAAAAAGAAAAGCAGACTTTGGAAGAAGTTAAGAGAGAGAATAAATGCCCTCAATTAACAAGATAGTTTCTGGGCATTTAAATGCAATGGGAAGCATTGTGTTGCAAGTTGTTAAAAATGAACCACAACATGGAAGTGGTTTATGAAGCTGTTAATTTACATTTTAGGTGTCTGTTACACCAAGACAGAATTAGTATTTATTTTTTACCTTTCACAGTTCAAACTTCCCATTTTCTTGTTGACATAATTTAAGTTGACATAATATAAGCTTTGATTTCAAGTAATTTGGTTATGCTGATGACAAAATCAAGTGATTTCTGATCTCTGAGTGTTGTAGAAATGAACTGAATACACAGGGGGATTCAGGAGCATTTTTTTGATGCAGTTGATGTGGATAAAATGCCAGGAGGAGAAGGAAGGGGGAGAAGGGGAAGAGACTGATGTGGAGGGACAGGATTCGATGTATATGTACTGGAATGGCAATACATCTCTGCATGGCATTATTTTAATATTTTGAGATCTAAGGATTTTAATCCAACCCTAGACTTTTTGACATGTAAAAATGCGTGAAAGTGATTCTTTCATGGCTAGTTTGCATATCCTATAGCTTTGTTGTTTGTTTCTAAATAATTTGCTATTATTTTTTAATTAGCAACTTGGGTGATAAAGTTCAATTAACTAATCATAGTTTTTGTTTCTCCTATTAAATACATAAACACGTATATTTGATTGTTTAAAAACGTTTTTTATACAAAAAATAAAGTTTTCATATTTGAAGTATGGTTACACTTGAATGTCATGCAGCATAAGCAGCAAAAATAAAGAAATAATAGTTGCATGTAAAGCGCACTGGATAGGATCTTAGATATCTGATATCAAATCATAGACATTCAGCTAATTTGACTATCAGAGCCAATATATGATCCAGGTATCAGATTTGCTCATCTCTAGTCAAATTGAAGGCGTCTTCAGACCAAAATCCTGGGTTTAATTTCAACCCAAGCCCACCCATGAATGGTACCAAAAGTGGCCCTTTAACCTAGATTGGACTTGCTACCACAATATCATTTTGTTGCCTTTCCATTTTTTATTTATTTTTCCACAGAAACCTACTTCCACATGTCCTGCTTTTTTAAAGTTTGCTTATATCCATTGTACTGCTCTGTAGATTTGGTATATGTGAGGGAAACATATGGATGAATTTGATGGTGGGTTAAATTTTTAACCACCCATTTGCATCATGATTCAAAATGTCTTTATTCATGTAGATAACATGGACACTGGTGCTATTACGGTTGCTGCTCTTGGTAGACCTTTTACCATAGGCATGCTCTATGATGCCAACGAAGATCGTCTCCTTCCAGGTAAGATTAAATAGCTACTTTATTTCCGTTACAGTTATGCATTTTTATATCAATACATAGAGGACACTGACATCTTATTTTTTAGGTCTGTTATTAAAAGGTATTAATTTAAACAATAATCCAAAGCCTATATTTATAGAACTGGGGGTTGAGGAGAGAAGTCTGCTTATTGAAAGATCTGTCTCTCATTCTAGTTTTGGAACCATCAATGAACGTGGTGTCTCAGAGTATTGTGGTTTGCAAATATTTGGTCCAGTTAGTACGGTGGCTAGGAAGTGCAAATCAATAATACAAAATCTGAAACACTTTTACAAATCTTGAAACAACTTTACATTTGAGAAAACAAATTTACAACAAACAAAACACTTTTACAAATCATAAAACAAATTTACATTTCAGAAAACAAAATTACAACAAACGAAACACTTTTACAAATCATAAAACAAATTTACATTTCAGAAAACAAAATTACAACAAACGAAACACTTTTACAAATCATAAAACAAATTTACATTTCAGAAAACAAAATTACAACAAACGAAACACTTTTACAAATCATAAAACAAATTTACATTTCAGAAAACAAAATTACAACAAACGAAACACTTTTACAAATCATAAAACAAATTTACATTTCAGAAAACAAAATTACAACAAACGAAACACTTACAAATCATAAAACAAATTTACATTTCAGAAAACACTTTTACAACTGACAAAATCTGACGGAAAGGGAGGGACTGTCTTCGAAGCTTACCCGGAAGTGATAAACGGAGAGTTTATGCAGGATGGAAGCTAATCGAGTTGCGCTTTGCCCGTTCTGTGGCACTCATATGAGCAGTTTAACGCAGTTTTGTTTTTCCTGTGGTCGGTCCTTGGAGAAGGAAATATTTTTTTCCTGGTTGAAATTTAGTACTTAAATCTATATTTGTGTTTTATGTTAACTTACAATTTATCTATGTTGTACTATCCTTAATAAACAGTTTGTGTTCTAACATCAGCCGTTTTATTTCATCCCATATTGCCAGAATTGAAATAAAACCTGCTGTAATCTGTTCCCCTGTCTATAACAGACAAAAAAGGTCCCAGTTTTTCAATTTTTTGCTTATAAGCATCTTTTATGATGACAATTCATTCCTGAAACTTTAAATGTGATGGACTTTTATTTCTTAAAGTTATAAGGGGGGAACATATTTATATCAGGCCAGCTGCTATAATCTGTTCCCCCTGTCTAAATCAGACAAAAAAGGTCCCAGTTTTTCCATTTTTTGCTTATAAACATCTTTTTTAATGACAACTAACCCCTGAAACTTTGGAGGTGATAGACCTTTATTTCTTAAAGTTATAAGGGGGGAACAAATTATAGCAGGCCAGGGTGGAAACTGGCTGATAGCTGGGCACACACATTAGAATTTCTGGTTAATCCCCTTCTAATGTAAAATATGAATGTTACTGGATAAGGACATTTCTAGTATAATATATCATACATCTCAATTTTAGAGAAATTGGAAACAGTTGCTCTTTATTTCCCAAAGATCGGGGAGGAGGAGAGGCGAGAATTAATGTTTCAGTTGACTGAAATAATCTGTTCCCCTCCATAACATGGGAAGAAGTAAATGTACCTGCAGTTCTTTAACTGTGCTTATTCCTCTCACCATCAACAACAAATCCTGTGGATTTGGTCATATTTACTATTTATTGGCAAAAATCAAAGGGGGGACCAGATTATTTCAGTATTTTACATTAGAAGGGGACTAACCAGAAATTCTAATGTGTGTTCCCTGCTATCAGCCAGTTTCCATCCTCTTATATCAGCAATGAAAAATAGAAAATACACTACGTGTTGGAAATCTGTTTGGTGACTGACGTTTTTTTTTCTGTCAGGCTGAAGGGACAAAAGTTGGAGAAATGCCGATTCTCTTGGCGTTTAAAAAAACCCAACACAAAACAGCTTAAGAAGACCTCATTAATGTATTTATTTTACAAATTTGTAAAAAGAGTAAACGATTAAACTGTATGTTACAAAGTTGACATTATTATATGAGCTGTTTTCACTGAAAAATGATCAGGAGCGCCTTGAAAATGGTCAGATCCGCCTCTCTGGCTGCAATGAGCGCTCCCGAAACAGGGGGAACAGATTTTCACAGGGAAACAGAATCTCGCACAAGACCGGCATAATTCAGTTTGCTTTTCAGAGACCTCAAGCTGATGTGTACACCATGTAAACATGGCATCATGTCTACGATTACAACGTACGAGTGACACTCATTAAAATAATATATGCGCAGCTGCAGCATATCTGGTTCTACCGTCTGTTCTGTACCATTTAAAAACTCCAAGGACCGACCACAGGAAAAACAAAACCGCGTTAAACTGCTCATATGAGTGCCGCAGAACGGGCAAAACGCAACTCGATTAGCTTCCATCCTGCATAACCTCCCGGTTATCACTTCCGGGTAAGCTTCGAAGACAGTCCCTCCCTTTCCGTCAGATTTTGTCAGTTGTAAAAGTGTTTTCTGAAATGTAAATTTGTTTTATGATTTGTAAAAGTGTTTTGTTTGTTGTAATTTTGTTTTCTTAAATGTAAATTTGTTTTTTGATTTGTAAAAGTGTTTCGTTTGTTGTAATTTTGCTTTCTGAAATGTAAATTTGTTTTATGATTTGTAAGTGTTTCGCTTGTTTTAATTTTGTTTTCTGAAATGTACATTTGTTTTATGATTTGTAAAAGTGTTTCGCTTGTTTTAATTTTGTTTTCTGAAATGTACATTTGTTTTATGATTTGTAAAAGTGTTTCGCTTGTTTTAATTTTGTTTTCTGAAATGTACATTTGTTTTATGATTTGTAAAAGTGTTTCGCTTGTTTTAATTTTGTTTTCTGAAATGTACATTTGTTTTATGATTTGTAAAAGTGTTTCGTTTGTTTTAAATTTGTTTTCTCAAATGTAGAGTTGTTTCAAAATTTGTAAAAGTGTTTCAGATTTTGTATTGTTGATTTGCACTTCCCAGCCACCGTAAGTTAGTCCCAAGTTCTGGATTAACCGGAAGCTGATGAAGACAAACTCTCCTTTCTTTGGAACCAGTGCTGCACATTTTTAAAGTGAAATATTGAATAACAGATACAAGCACTAGTTTTTCTTTATTGTAAAGTGACAGATTACTCCAGATAGACATTTGGGACTTCTGGCAAAATACTCCCAATGGAGGAGTTAAATGCATTTCATAAATATAAAGTGCAGTTACCAGTTTGACCCAATAAAAACAAGAAATAGAAGACAAAATATACTAAAAAAAAGGAAAATAAAGAACCTAAGACTATGAGGAAGCTGTACGTAAATTAGTTTATTAAATGTCTTTTAAATCAATACATGTATAATTACACAGACAGAGGCTTGTGATAACAAAATCAACAAAAAGACAAGACAGTATAACTTCATGTCCAAATATAAACAACTTCCTGAGACATCAAAGTAACACTCTCCTGTTCTGCTATTATTGTGCATGAGAATGTGGATATTTATTGTTCCATAAATACTTTAACTCTGCTTTTTTACTATTTAACTTTACACTTTATGTTTTAAAGGCTTCACCCTGTGGGATGAGAAGACTCTAAAGGGGATGATTAAAGTGGATGAAAAAAGAACAAGTGATTCAAATTACATTTTTTCTGATTCCTTAGAGGAGAAGTGTAAAGTGATGGATATTGGTGCCTCTCTGAAGGCCAGTATAATGGCTGGCATGTTTGAAGTTAAAGGATCTGCAAAGTATCTCAACAATCAGAAAAAATCCCGGAATCAACTACAACTAACCTTTCAGTACAAAACCACCACCAACTTCAAACAACTGAATCTGGGTCCTGATCAACTAAAAACAAAGGAGATAGATGAGGATATAAAGCGCTCGGCCACTCATGTTGTCACCGGTATTGAATATGGTACAAATTTTTTCTTTGTGTTTGATTTAGAGAACTCAAGCACAGAAACCATTCAGGAAACTGAGGCCCATTTTAAAGCTGTCATGACCAAGTTTCCTCATTACAAGATTGGGTTAGGAGCTGACTTCCAACTGTCTGAAAAGGAAAAAAAAGTGATTGAAAATGTTTCCTGCTCGTTTTATGGAGACATGATACTTGAAAAAAACTCCAGGAACTTTGAAGAAGCACTATTGGCATACTCAACACTTCCAGAACTACTGGGCAAAAATAAAGAGTACGGTGTTCCAATGAAGGTCTGGATGATGCCACTGAAAACATTTGATCCATCAGCTTCAGAGAAGAAGATGGAAATCAGTGTGAAACTTTTAAAAAAGGCTGAGAATGTGCTGCAAGAGTTGAATGACCTGATTATTAGATGCAATGATTGCTTGAAAGGGAGCTATCAGCTCCCACTGATTACTGAAGCTTTGTCAAATTTCAAGCAATATTGTGTTAGCTATAGACAGAAACTTATATGTATGTTTGCAGAGAAGTTTCCCAAAATTAGGGCAGGAAAAGAAGATGAGAATGATTTGCTGAAAATCTTGGATGACAAAGAAATGTCTCCTTTGAGTTCATTTAATTTAGGGAAATGGATGAAAAGTACTGAAAGAGAAGTTAATGTTATCAAAAGCTGTGTTGAGGCAATGGAGTCAGTAAAGGTCCTCAGTAAAGACAACGAGTTTGATAAGGAGCTTCTTTCCACTGAAGTAGAGGAAGTTCTCAACTTTGTTTTCACCTCATTGAAAAGTGTGGATCCCTATCTTCAGAAAATGGAAGATTACATTTGCACAATGACCTGCAATGCCACAGGGAAGGTCAGTCCATGCAAAGATGACCCGTGGTACTACTCAATCCCAGTGATACAAGACATGCAAAAAAAAGCTTTGGTGATGGGTAGACTTGCAAAGGCCCTGAAGAATGAAAAAAAATACAGATTTTTTATATCAGCCACCAGAAATGACGAAGTTAAAGGAGCAACCATCTATCACTATAGTCATAAACAATTGATCACAAAGGATTTTCAACAACCTCACTTGCCAGCTCCAGAAAAGATAAAAGAAAGAAGAGACGTGCTATGGTGTAAGTCCCTTTTCATCATTTCTACTGTTAGTTCACTCATAATAAGCTGTAAGTATACTTTTATTTCATGAAAATATCTATTTTTAAGTATAATTCATACCATTTTCCAGAAAAGATCAGATACAGGTTGCATTGTCATGATTCCTGACACTAGAGCTGATCTGATTCATCATTCAACACACCTGTCAGCTCTGCCCCGTTTCTAATCAGCCTCCATCAGATTCACCTGCTTAATTGGGAACACCATTTTTTGTTTACATTGATCCCTTGATTTTCCGTTATTCCATCATGTTCTACTCACCCATATGAGTTCAGTGTCATTTGGAGCCGTTCTGAAGATATTCCGTTAGGTTATATCCAAGTAACGTCTTCCTATGGGCAACGACTTGAAGGCATAAAACTCAACTGTTCATAATTTATTCTTTATGGTACGACAGCATTCAGAACATGGAGGCCAATCACTGTCCCTCAAACATCTGCAGTTATATTTTTTATACTTATATTTTTTAAAACAAAGCAGCACGTGCATGACGTCATCCGTGCGTGCTGGCTACCATTCATTCATAGTGTCTGCTGAACTGCTGCTAGTTTTACTTACATGCCCACACTCAACCCATTTTAACCTAATAGATAATTTACTAGATTTATCATGTCTCCTTCTGCAAGCTCGCTGATTGCACTTAGCTGTGATTCACCTACATGTTACAAATGCTGGCGTACCATAAATAATAAATATGGGTGAGTAGATCATGTTGTAATAATGTAAAATTAAGAGCCCAATGTAAAAAAAAAACGGTGTTCCCCTTTAACTGACTTTATAACCAGCTCTCAGACCAGTGACTAGCACCAGCTTATTAGAAGAAATCTGTGAACAGAGCTACTTGTAGCTTATTTGCAGCTACAGATGTTTTTTTTTTAACCCTGCCATTTAAAACTCCTTTTGGCATTTTCCCAGCCTTAAGTCATCCTTATATTAGGGACTGTGTGTATCTAATAGGCATTTCTAAAAGATTCATGGATAAATGTAAACAGTAATTTTATACATGTGGTTAGGAACAGTACAAAATGAAATGCCCTACAAGCATTCGGCCTATACACATCACATACAGCTGTACTAGACCAAAATGATCTGACTTGTTAAAAATATATATAATTAGAAAGATCATAATAATGGCATTTGTAAAGTAAAAATTTGATAGCTGGTTATTAGATATACACATTAAAAGATTCCCAAGAAAAGCATATGTATGTAGAGATTGTCTGGGAACAAGTGAATGAGCAGTAAACTTAAACATTAGAGAAATGGTATGCTGTTCCGGCCCTTACCATTTATGAAGTGTTCTTCATGATTTTCTCATGTTCTGTTCTTTTCTATCTCAGATGCCAGTGAGGTCACCCTGGATCCAGATACAGCACACCCAAACCTCAAAGTTTCTTCTGATCATAAGAAAGTGGAACACGGAGACCAGCAATGGTATAAAGATAATCATCAGAGATTTATTGAGCAACCTCTGATTATGTGCAAAGAAAAGCTATCAGGCCACTGCCACTACTGGGAGATGGAAGTGAACAGTAACACCAGTGTAGATATTGGTGTCTGCTATGGATCCCTAGATAGGAAAGGATTAATCGGGTTTAGTTCAAGCTGGTCATTAGGATGGAGAGGAAATACATTCTATATACAGCATGACAACAAGAGTCAAAGAAAACCCTGTCCCAGCATTGGCTTCTCCCGTATTGGGGTGTTTCTGAATTGCAGCTGTGGGTGTTTGACCTACTACATAGTCAGAGATACTAAACTGGATCACATTCACACATTTCGCAATACGTTCTCAGAACCCGTCTTCCCATGTATGAAACTGGGTACAAAAGGTAGCTGGTTGTCCCTGTGTATGTGATGAGTTTCATTTTCAAAACAAACAACCAAAAAAAGGCCTACACAAAGGCAGGAGATATGAAAGTCAGAGGTAATTAATTGAACAATCAAGTTACTGGTATTTTTCTTCTCTCTACGTGCAATTTACCTTATCATTACATAAACATAGTAGATAACATTAGTCAGCATGTTATTGGCCTGTCCTCTGAGGGTTTTTTCAATGTTGTTTGATTGTCCAAGTTTAAAAATGCCACAATCTGGCTAAAAGCTAAAAAAAGGCAGTTATGGACAGAGAAATCATCCTGAGGAGGAAAAACTGTTGCACACAGGTCTAGAATTTTACTCCTAAATGATTTATTATCCATGCCAATAAAAGAGCAATACTCAAAACAAAGTTGGGACTACAGTTAATGTCAGGATATTAACATTACACTTTTTTGTGTGCTTACTTTTTGCAGTTTAGGTCAACCAATCAATCAATCAATCAATATTTATTGTCAACTACAATTTGCATTGTAGTCGAGATTGCATTTTCAGTTAAAGCGGTCATCAAATACATCACAAAAATGGGGGGGTAGGGAGTTTTCTTGGGGTGCCGCCATTATTTTTGTGGAAAAATAGGAGCCATATTGTGAGGGGAGAGGCAAAAAAAGCAGTACTAGTAATACCCAATTATTAATTTTTTATTGTTTTACCAATAAATATGTTATTTTATTATTTTTGAAATGCATAGTAGCTGTAGATAATATAGTTCTGATATTATTACATTTATTCAATTGTTCTAATGTTTGGGAAATAAAATCAAAATAGGGGTAAAAAACTGATCTCTTAACATTTTTCGCAATTCATATTTTTCAATTTTAATTTTGTTTGTATTTCCTTTGGGTTTTGGGTTTAATTTTAATTTTACATTTCTTTATGTTGCTGTTTTGTATTTTACTTTTCATATTTTTTGTGTTGGAGATTAATAGTCTTTTGGACCTTCAATCATGTTAGGATTGAATACAAGTTCTAATCTTTTTAATTGTTTCTAATAAATTCATGTTTTTGATTATTTCCGAATTACATAACTGCAAATAACAACTTATTTCTAATAATAGTATGTAATTGTAATTCTCCTTGAAAAATCATTGACAATACAGTTGCTTTTAATTATATTCCAAACTAGAAAAACCTGAGTAATTACCTGGATAATATGTTGCCATGACAGTATCTATAACTCAAACGTCAAAAAATACATCCTTATTCCATATTTCATTCTAACCTAACAAATTCCCAAGAATTATTGCATATGCATCTGTTTAAGAAATGTACATTAAAACCAATGAAATACACCAAAAGGAAAAGTCTCTATTTATTTTGACCCAGGGATGTGATCAATGACATCAATCAATTATAATCTCATAATTTAATGAGTTGATAAATATGGAAATTATGTCCACCTGAAGGTGGCTGCACCTCGGAACTTTCCTTCGGGTTCTTTTCCTGGGAGCAAGTTATTTACTACTCTTAAATCAAACCGGGTAAAACCATATAAAAAGGACTATAAAGCAGGAGTAAAAATGTAACAGACTTTGTTCCAGCTAAGGTCATTACAGGACAAAGAAATTGCTTGGAGTTGACACAGATGTGGGCTCAAAATACATCACCGAGCATCTGGCAAAGACTGAGCCCTGAACAAGGTCATCTCCCTGGCAAAGACTGAGCCCTGAACAAGGTCATCTCCTTCTTATACCTCATGAATCTATGTGTTGGATCAGGAGGATGCTTAGCTATCCATATCAGAAACATTCATGCCATCCATGTCCTGACCTTCATGCATCTTGCCTCTATGCCGCAGAAGTACAGATAGCTCTCCTTTATCAGTCAAGCTCCAAGATGTTCCCATATCCTGTGTATTTCTGAAGACACGAAGGCTGTCCTGATTAGAGGACCTCCGTACACACAGTGACATCCAAAATGTGAAGGAAGGCCTTCTACTCCGTCTAATCTGGCTAACAGAATAACAATGCACATGATGTGTAAAGAATAAACCTAACAGATGTTGTTGAAGCTTGGACATCTCTGCCCTGCGGGTAGGACCCGAGGTCAGGTAGGTAGAGGGAAAGAAAGTTAATAGGTAAGAAAACTTTAATGGTTAAAGTCGTGTCAAGGTGGAATATCCTGGTAAGTGTTAGGGTTAGGGGTTAGGTGCAGGAATAGTATCACAATGACATCCCCCTAAATCAGTCCATTGACCAAAAAAGGTATGGTTCCGGGAGTCAAAGGCAAGGCACTGGCCGACGCATGTCACTCAAGAGCTCATCTCCTTTTGTTTGGCCCAGGTAGAAAGTACACAGTAAAGACATTCTAAAAAAATAAAAATTGTTGTATGGAGTTTCAGAATAGGATAGAATAGAGGCCCTTTAACAGGTCCCAATACCATCCAAATTCCTCCATAAGATTACCGTCAGAGTACATGGTAAAGGTAAGCGTTGATCATTTAGTAGAGGTAGAAAGGATACTACAAAATATTCTAAACTAAATAGAAGGAATTTTTGGAACACATCATCAGTAGTGGACCTCAAGATCATTGGGTGTTTCGGCCATTATCACTAGACACCCTCACTCGAGGACGGCCCAGACAGGGATGATCAGTCCCTGCTGTGTGTCCAATAGCCAATTAGGTTTAAAGAAATCTAAAACTAAGTCAATCACAGCATAAAAGAAGAAAAAACTATGAAAGGTCAAGGTCCTGTTTGGGACCCATTACCTTAATGAAAAAATATACGATCAAAGGTCAAGGTCCGGCTTAGGACCCATTAACTTAATGTAAAATTATAAGGCAAGGTCAATATGACCATCAAGATGAGACCATCAAGATCAATACCCGATTGGGCATTGTAAAAGAACCTAGGTCCCGTTGCATCCACAGCCTAGTCACCTAAGTTGGACCAGGGGATGTAAAATCCTTTTTGGAAAAAATGACAATTTAAAAGAGTCCAATTGTAGTTAAAAGGGGAATAAAAACCAAATTAAACGTGTGTGGCGGATGTGGGCTGTGCGTTGCCGGGGCTAACCCCCATAGAAGACTGGGCTGCGATTACGGTCCTAAGCTCTGGACCGCCACACCTTGCGTGCATTGTTCCAATAGGGGAACTCAAGGGGGCCACATACTAACCTCCTTACCCAGTACCCTTCGGTAAACAGGTCGGTTGTTGACACCGTTAGGTTACTCCGACCTGCCCAGGTAAGGCTGAAGATCTGGGTCCTGTGTCGTCCGCGTCAGGGGGGGGGGAGGGGGGGAGGGGGGACCTGATCCTATGCTCCATACACCGCACAGCTCTAGGGTCAAGGATGTCATGCCCAAGTCACACACAAAGAGTGTGAGACCAAGGCATGACATAAAGGCTAATCTAAATTGGGGCTGGGGTTATCTATCGGTATTACTGCTTCACTCATGGTTTTGTTTTAGGTCATGAGAAAAGTCACTTGAAAATAAGTTATATGGGAACTACAGTAGGGGAATTGGTAGATAGCATTAATTAAAACTATAAAAAATTAAAGGGTTAGGGTTAGGGTTAGGGTTAGGATATAGGATGAAAACCAGAAAATCCGATCGGGCACTCTCAATAACTCAAAAAGTAAAAGAGGTATGGGGCCCATACTTGGGTCAGAGGGACCCATGGTGGGGACCCACATTCTATTAGAGTTTGGTGGGCGTGGCCCCTTTCCTTGACATAGCTGCCATTGACTCCCATACAACCGAAATAATCGGGCACTCTCTGTAAGTCAAAAAGTATAAGTGCCAATCTCACCAAACTTGGTGTGTATACTCCCCCTGGGCCGTCCCAACTTTCCACCAAGTTTGGTGGTCCTAGCCCCTCCCCTTCCTATAGCTGCCATAGACTCCCATTCATTTTTCAAGTTTCGCTAGGAGCATCGTAGAGACATGGGAGTTGGTTTTTCGTGCTCAGGGCGTCCCCACGAGTCCGGGGATATGCGGTTCATTAGGGTTCATTGAGGTTCATTGAAGGTCAAAATTTTGAAAAAATGCTCTAAGTGTCATACTTGGGCGTTACTATGGGAACCTTACTAGAGTGCGTTTTAGAGTCCCCTGATGCCATAGGAATGGGTCCCATGTGAAGTACATGGTGAAACTTTACTTTTGCTAGGAGCATCGTAGAGACATGGGTTAGGGTTAGGGTTTGGGTTAGGGTGAGGGTTAGGGTGAGGGTTATGGGGCAAGGGAACCAAGAACTGGATCCCCCACCCCCCCCACACCCCTCCTCGGTGCACGGGCACGCATCCGACCACAGGTGTGTTCCCCAGGGCCGTTCCTCCATCTGTCCATGAGGCCATGGCCCACCAGCATCTGCAGTCCGGAGATCCAGATGTGTTCCCTTCTCTGCGCTGTGGACCACACTAGGTTTCATCATCATCCTCCTCTATACATAAAAAAATATATAAACAATGTAGAACAACATCACCCCGTGTCCCTGTCATCCTCCCCTCCCAGGAGAGGTCTAATGGGGTCCCCTGCTGGGTTCAGCAGGATCGGGTGTCATGGGTGGAGGAGAATAGGGCTTAAAGCGAAAAGTGGAGGCTGGAAAATAGGGCTTAAACCGGAAGCCAGCATCCGAAGGAGGCCTGGTGGAAGCAGGAGCTTTGATGGCTGCAGCAGGGGCTGAGTGAGGATCTGAGGGCCCCAGGCTCTGTGTGGTCTCCCTCATCCTGCTGGGCTGAGCAGGCTTGGATCTGGTGGGTGCAGTGGCCTTGGTGGCTGCAGCAGGGGCTGAGTGAGGATCTGAGGGCCCCGGGCTCTGTGTGGTCTCCCTCATCCTGCTGGGCTGAGCAGGCTTGGATCTGGTGGATGCAGTGGCTTTGGTGGCTGCAGCAGGGGCTGAGTGAGGATCCGAGGGCCCCGGGCTCTGTGTGGTCTCCCTCATCCTGCTGGGCTGAGCAGGCTTGGATCTGGTGGATGCAGTGGCTTTAGTGGCTGCAGCAGGGGCTGAGTGAGGATCCGAGGGCCCCGGGCTCTGTGTGGTCTCCCCCATCCTGCTGGGCTGAGCAGGCTTGGATCTGGTGGATGCAGTGGCTTTGGTGGCTGCAGCAGGGGCTGAGTGAGGATCCGAGGGCCCCGGGCTCTGTGTGGTCTCCCCCATCCTGCTGGGCTGAGCAGGCTTGGATCTGATGGATGCAGTGGCTTTGGTGGCTGCAGCAGGGGCTGAGTGAGGATCCGAGGGCCCCGGGCTCTGTGTGGTCTCCCTCATCCTGCTGGGCTGAGCAGGCTTGGATCTGGTGGATGCAGTGGCTTTGGTGGCTGCAGCAGGGGCTGAGTGAGGATCCGAGGGCCCCGGGCTCTGTGTGGTCTCCCTCATCCTGCTGGGCTGAGCAGGCTTGGATCTGGTGGATGCAGTGGCTTTGGTGGCTGCAGCAGGGGCTGAGTGAGGATCCGAGGGCCCCGGGCTCTGTGTGGTCTCCCCCATCCTGCTGGGCTGAGCAGGCTTGGATCCTGTGGGAGCAGGGGCTATTGTGGCTGCAGCAGGAGCCTCATGAGGAGCTGGGGGCCATAGGCTCTGTGTAGTGTCCCTCATTAGGCCCAGTGCCTCTCTGCTGTGCTCTAATGTCTCTTCCCTGAGCCGTCTTCCCAGATTTCTCCGGGCCCATTTAGTGGCTATGATAAATGAGGCCCCTAGGTTGCCTCCAAAGGTGCAGAGTGTGTGTTTGAAGCAGGTGATGCTGTCCTGATAATGTTTTTTCAGAGTCTGGATTGTGTTAAAAGCCCACTGTATAGCATTGTCCTCAATAATAGTCCTGGTGTTCTCATTATTGCTAGCTGGTTTGATCACATCTGTTAAATGAGTTTTAATTTTAAGCAGGGCCGGTGGAAGTTCATATTTTGTCATGTTTTCTAGGTGATGTTGTGCTTTAATCAGCTTAAACCATGTTCTGACCTTCTGCTTAAAAAGCGGGTCCCCAGATTCTGCTTGGTTCTGCTCCGGTTCTGTTGGGTTCTGTGGGCCCTGTGTTGCTGCGGGTGGTTCTGGTGGTCGGTGGTGGGCGCTGGGTCTGTATGTGCCGCGCTGATGGTTCTGCTGGGCCGGTTGGGCTCTGTGTTTCCGCCCTGCATGCGTGGGTCCTACCCGGTTTTGCTTCTGGTTCCGGTCCGGTAGGATTCCTGCTTGGTTCCGCCGCGGTTCTGCTCGGTTCGGGTTAGGGTTAGGGTTAGGGTTAGGGTTAGGGTTAGGGTTAGGATGAAAACCAGAAAATCACTTGGTTCATTCTTTATAAGTCAAAAAGTGAATGAGCTAGGGGGCTGATACTTGGCACAGACACGCCCCCTGAGGGGA